TCAGCAGAGAGATGAAGAGGATCCAGGAGCAGATCTCCTCTCTGTCAGACAGMATCTCTGCTGTTGAAGAAGACCTGCAGAAAGACAACGTGTCCTTCCTCAGCACTTATAAAGACACTCAGACCAGAGRCAGAACCCAGAGCTCACTGTCAGATCCACAGCTGGTCTCAGGAGCCCTGATAGATGTGGCTAAACACCTGGGCAACCTGGCCTTRAGAGTCTGGGACAAGATGAATGAAAAGATAAAGGACCAGGTCCACTTCAGTCCTGTCATTCTGGACCCAAACACTGCACACAGACGGCTCTGTTTGTCTGATGATCTGACCAGTGTGAGACGTGGAGACACAAAGCAGCAGCTTCCTGACAACCCAGAGAGAAACACTAAATACTCCAATGTCTTTGGTTCTGAGGGCTTCAGCTCAGGGAAACACAGCTGGGAGGTGGAGGTGGGAGATCATCCTGAGTGGAATGTTGGTTTGGTTAAAGAGTCAGTCGACAGGAAAGGAGAATGTTCTGCTTCACCAAAATATGGAATCTGGTGTTTTAAGCATGGTGATGGAAAATACACCAACGGTGCTGGTAGGACTGTCCCAGTGAAGAAGAGTCTCCAGAGGATCAGAGTCCAGCTGGACTATGACAGGGGGSAGGTGTCCTTCTACAACTCTGCAGACATGAGTCTCATCTACACTCACAGAGACACTTTCACRGAGAAACTCTTCCCTTATTTTAGTTTGGGAAAATCTGGAGAATCCAAAACATCTGATGTTAAAATCTGTAAAACTAACATTTCTGTTTAAAGTTCATGAATGTTTATATTGTTTCAGTTTTTTTAGAGTTACTGTTATAGAGCATAAAGGAGCTCTTGTTCTAACATGACCTCTTGACCCTACAGGTCATATTTCTCTTGAACTGAACTGTTTTTTTAAAAGCTTTCTTAAAAACAAACTCTGGCRGAGCTATTCATTAATCTGTTCTTGTTAGGAATATGTTTTAATCTTTTGTGATTAATTGTGTATATATAAAGAGAAAAGAATCATTAACATTTCTGTAACAAGATTTTTTTCATTCATTTATTAATTTTTATTTGTAACAATACAAAAAAACATGCAATCAAAATAAAATAAAAATGAAATGCAGCAGAAGAAGAATAAATCTTATATCTGCCCCCTTTCCCCCCKTTTTAAAGGCATTTAATTCAAGTGTTGTATCATCATACTGTGAACTCTGATCTTGATCTGAAATGTCTTTCTAACAATAGAGTTAAAATGTTTACTGTTTTTCTCTTTTCTCTCATAAGRAAATGAACAGCTGTGCGTGTTCGATGCGTTGAAGAGAATCTAAATATTTTCRCCCAAAGAAATATTTTCAGTCTGTACCATTGACCCTGAAATAGTATTATTTTGACTAGTCAAAACGCCAGCTACAAGGTTGGGAGAGACAGAAGAGAAACAGCTCAGCTTTGGTTGTTGAGCCATCGAGATGAATTCAGATGGAGAAGCTAATCATCTGAACTGCAGAATATTTAGAGCCGACTCCATTACCAGGGGTCTGATAAAGGCTGTTTGTGACGGGAAGCCATGCCGTCCCATGGAACCTGCTTCTTACATGACCTCTCAGTGATGACCTCCTGGACAGTTCTYAGCTCGTGTGGATTCTTTCAAAAAGGGCTCCCACAGTAAGCTGGCCACCTCCGATAAGACAATCTGAATGGCAGAGAATGTCGAGCTGTACCTCTTTTAAGGTTGTCACAAAATGATTCACAGAACAGCTGTATTGGCCTGTGGCACTTTGATCTCTTCTTCTACAGTAAAATTAAATTACTAACTTTTAATATGACCAAGATCTTAACATTTTCTCTGCAAATGGACAAAATTTTATAGGTTCTTAAACTGGGTCACCTGTCAACAATAATTATGGGTGGATTGTTGGGGAAACTTT